CCGACCTGATGTAAAAGAGGCTGTGGCACGGAAGCCACCACGGCACGTCTTTCCTTCTCCCTCCTTAATCCCCATCGCCAAGAGCTCAGCAGGCGCTGCCGAAGTGCAAAACTGCCTGGCCCAAGACGACGCGACTGGCCTTCTTCTCCCTCTTCTAGCTTGTCTGTCGACTTTCTTCGTTGCAGCATGTCTCTCTCACTTACCCCAGAAAGGGTTAATCGTATGCCAGTCCGTCTCGACACAACAGTCGGTGTCGATTCCAAGCTATCTAGCTATCTACGTGCAATTTTTGGTATCTCGTTTACAATCGAAGGATTCGGTGCCTGCTGACCGGCGAACAAAGCAAAACTGTTCCGGTGATCCGAAACACCATACGCCAACTGGGCCTTCCAGCCTCCCAAATGTTATCCATAGTCGATTTCCAGTCATCCGTCCGTATAGACCGTCTGCCATATTCGCACATGTATCCATCCGAATCTTTCCATCTTCCTGAAAGCCCAACCCTATTCAGAACGTTGATCCCAAGAAAAACGTGTTCTCTAACTTGATCAACAAAAATAAAGACATTCCGTCTAAGCTCCGTCGACTTCCATGTCTTCGACGACAGACTCCTCGTACGACTCGTAAGGCGTATCTTGCGAAGCCGGGCCGGAGACAACTTCCAACTCGTTGTTGGTGATGCTCTGCAAGGCCTTCTTGAATTTCTCGAGCTCGCCTCTCAGACGCTCCCTCTTTCTGGCGGTGGCATCGTCCTCTTCCATCAAACGCGAGAAGACTGTTCCATCGTTGGCTCCTACAAGACCAAGTTGCCCCTCCAAGAAGAAGTCGAGTTGCTGGATGATCTTGGGCATCATACGAGACGTGACCGAGAGAGAGACCGTGTCGGCGAAGCGAAGAGCAGAGAGTATGTAGTAGCCGCGAACATAGGCTGCGACCTTCAGCTCCTTATCGAAGGTATCCGCGCCCATCTTCGCGAGCTCGCCGGCATGCTTCTTCTCCTCTAGGGTACGCTGGTCAGGCGTCATCTCATCCCAGTCGTGGAATTTGGTAGCCTCTCCAGAGAACGCCTGCCAGCGCATAACATGGCGATAGCGTGTAAGCACTCGGAGCTCGGCGCGCTCGTACTCCTCAAAGGCCTTCTTGTTTACTGTGAAAAGTTGGAAAGTCTCCATGGCGTAAATGTCGTTGAGGAACTCCAGAGCCTCTGCACGGCGTTCCTCGAGGAACTGGGCCATGAGGTTCTTGGACTCCTTGAAGATCAGGCGTCTCTTCAACGACCCGAAAGCTTGGTCCAACGCGTAGTTAACGATGCTTTGCAGTCGGGTCATCGTCTCCTGTAGAAAGGTGGCCATGGGCTGGTTCCAAGCCTTAACGGCCTGCTTGCATAAATCCTCATAAACCTCGTCGGGGACAATGCTAGGTCTGCCGGCTTTGGTCTTGGCTCTGATATCCTCGCTGATTTGGCGGAGAGTACGGAATCCAGCACCGCATCTGGCATACTGCTGGAACGCAGGGGCAAGCTGAGAAGGGGGGATGGGTCGTCGGCGGGAGGGTGTCGACGGCGTAGAGCCGCCGTCTTCAGTCTTGATGGCGGCGGAGAATGAACCACCGCCATTGACGCTGGGGCGAGGTCTCTTGGCGTTCGCATTGCCCTGTCCGTTCGCACCGCGCTTCCTGTTGCTAGGTGTGACAGTGCTCGTCGAATCGTCCTCGTCGTCCGAGATCTCCAAGATTGGGACGTCAGACTGATCTTTCAAGATGAACTTGGGCTTCATCTGCAAGACACAGTCCCGAAAAGCCTCAGATAGGCCTCCGTAGTTAGAAGAGAATTCTCTGCCGCGAAGAGTCTCCTTGACAATGCTCGAAAAGTTCATCAAACTCTTACGGACCTCTAGCTCGACGTTGCTAGGCAGTTCGGGAAGTGTGCTGAGCTGCGCTTCGATCTCGCGCACGCGAGTCACGACCTTCTGCTTGATCGATGGGAGGCTGTGCCGTATTAGCATTGAAGTCCGAGCAGGGTATAAAGAATGCTACTTACTTCTTGGCAAACTCCTTGCCTAACTTCTCAGAGAGTGCTGTCTTGAGTTTCTCGACGCCACATCTGTCACGGAAAGCGTGGAACTCCTCAGGCCAAAGATCACTAGAGTTATTGTGAAAGTAAGCCTCTTCCCATTGCTGCTGCTCGTCAAGCTTGCGGTCGGACGGACGTGAAGTAATGAAGAATTCGTGACCGATTCTGTGGCGCTCTCCGCTCAGCATAGACAGCCATTGGGCGTAGTTGCCCTGGGGGAGGAGATCCGCCTTGGTCATCACGCCAATGGTGCGTTGCTGGGCTCTGAGATCGCGAATGATTGAGAGGGTAGACGAGGTCTCCGGATCGACGTTCATGGGGACGGCCCAGATGATGAGGGCACCTTCATGAGAAATGTACTCGCGAGCCAAATTCTCCACGACAGAGACGAGGTACTCGTCCTCCTCCCGGGCTGAGTTGCGGAAGATACCCGGCATGTCGTAAAAAGAGAGGTCAGGCAGGTCGGGACCCTTGATCTCAAGGGCTACCGTGTTGGGGCTGAACTTGGCAGCCGTTCTCTCCGCCTCCTCGTCCAAAAGTCGTTGCTTGGTGATGGCTCCAGTTCCGGGAATGTAGAGTTCGTGGTTCTGATCATGATTGAGGATGGCGATCTGGGCCCATCGGAGGACGGTATCAATGTCGGATTGGTCGTAAATGGTCATGAACTCCTTCACGACGCGTGGTTGCTTGACCCAGGGCGGGAAGGGGCTCTGAGGGGTGACGTCGGCCTTGGTAATCTCGTAGTCACCAGGGGGGCAAAAGGCGTAATCCTGTTGGAGCGAAACACGACAAGACCACTCGGGACCGCCGCGATCTCTCGCCATGCTACGAGAAACGCGAATGTGGATAGGGCAGCGAGTGCAAACCCCATCACTGCGCGGAAGGTTGAGGCCAGCAAGTCCGGACATCAAACTGCTCTTGCCAGCGGACTGATCACCAACTAAGACGAGCTGGGGAAGAGCGACATCGTGAGATACGCCGATCTGCTGAAGCTCGCCGAGAGTGTCGTTGAAAACCTTGAGCTTTGCGCCAATGTCGCGGAAAGAGCCATCGAAGAACGAGGAGTCCATCTGGGTGCCTCCCAAAGGGCTTGCCATCTCGCGGTTCCTCACTTGCATCAGGACGGGCTCACTATCATCGACAGTGGGGTTCGTCATGGCAGTGCGGACGGACCGGGTTGCCAGGCTCATAGGCGGTTTGTTTGAGGGGGGAGCTGTGGAGTGTCAGTATCTGAAGATAACGAAAGGCATTATGAGGAAGATGACTTACGAGCGTTGGATCTGGGAAACACTTGGGATGCATCCGCTGCTGATGAGTAGGTGCTCGGAGGAGCCTGGCTTCTCTGCTGCTGAACGGGAGATCCGTTCAAAGTGGCAGTCGGCGACACCGGTGCATGAAATCCCGGCTCGGCCTTGATACCTCTCTTTGACTTCGTCATGTTGGGCGAAGTTTAAGTGAGATATGTGTGTCGAGAAGTGTTGGTGGTGGTGAAGGTGGGTATGAGAAGAAATTAGGAGAAGGTGCGATCGAGAGGTAGGGGATTTTTGAAGAGTGAAGAGAAGGTGGGAGAAGGTATAGGTCTAAACAGGCAACGACGAAAAAGAGGAGAGAAAGGACGTGAGGCAAGGCTGACGGTTAGTCGGTAGTTGCAACCTGAAGCTCAAGAAGCTGGAGGAAGGAGCTCGGGGAGCAGAGCTTTAAGAGCTCTTTCCTCGTCTGCGTCGGCCAGAGCAACGTGAGGTCCCACGCTCCAGTGATGCTCATTAAAGTGCTTGGGAGCGTTAGGCGTGACTTTGGAGGTGGTGTTATTCGGTCGTCACTTTCCCATCAGAAATAGTCGAAAACGAATAAAAACTCCTCAAGAAGTATTTGAAGATCTATGTAATCGACTGACTGAGTTTTAGCTATATCTATGGCAAGAATGCTGGTCATATGTGGTGATGTGCATTGTAGGTTCTTGTACTCGGTAGCAGGAAATATTGCGGGCTGGAGTAGACGAGGTGCATCGCTGGAGTTTTATCGAGCAGGGGTTTAAAGGAGCTCAGGGATGGCTCGAGTGGCCAGCAGTGGAGCTTGGCCGTGACGATCCCCTGGAGAGACGCGATTTGGTACCTGACAGAGCTCCCCAAAGCGCACCGCAATCTGCCAAATTTTGCGGGCGAGATGTGAGGCCTCACCTGGTCAACGAGGTCACTCCGGTTGCTTTCCAGGCACCTCCTGTCGCGTCTTCCACAGGCAAACACGCTCGGACGCGCTCTTGTCTCTACGCGTAAAGCGCCCGGATCTCCAAAATTCTCGAAGAGGTTGGAGGAGGTTGCCTGACTTACACCAGACTTGCTGCCTCTGCAAAGAATGACACAACCGAATTCGATCCAATGCTCCAAGTTATGCTGCTGGGCAGTTGTGCATCTGAATAAATATCTATTCATCCGATCTGGTCTTACTGATGATTCCAAGAAAAAAGAATCAAAGAGAACACATATACCATTGATAACAGCTGCAGCTCAAGACTTCGAAAAAGAAAGGAAAACACAGAGTGAATCTCAAGGGACACGAATGAGATGCTGAGCTCATCACATGTGGTCCCTGCTCCTGCGCAACTTGTGCAGCTGCTGAGGCTTGCGCAGTGAGCAGTTACCTCTTATCGCCAGCTTATCACCTTTGTCCAGACAGTAAGGGACTTTGCCGCCACAACCCGGCCTTGCACGAGCCACCAGTCGCCTGTAAATTATTCTTAGTCCAGACCACCAGACCAACCAGCCAGCAGTGCGGTGCAGCTCAGGTGGACGTCAAGGTCGACTTCTCAGGGGGGGCTGTTCGAAATCAATCCCACGAAGCGGTGACGTTGCAAATTGGCGATTCTGCTCTCTACTTCCCACCCTCCGACCTACCATCACCACCCTCAAACCTCCTTCGTCCAGTCGCAATCATGTCGCTGCAGGTCCCCTACCGAGGAAAGGCGTCCCAAGAGGGCGCAACCAAGGCCGTCATCCTGGTATGAGCAACCCTTTTTCGCATTCATCCTCTGAATCTGCGGCGCAACCATCTCCAACTCCCCCGCCTTGGTCCAGGGTCGCTCCCCTTCCCTCCTCCCCTCGTGTTCCCATGCCCAACCCACAACAACAAAAGCTTTTCTGCAAACGGAACAATCACAGGCTAACCATGACTCTTCAAAACTCCAGGTTGGCGGTCCTTCCAGAGGAACTCGATTCCGCCCCCTCTCCCTCGACGTCCCCAAGCCCCTCTTCGAAGTCGCCGGCCACCCCATCATCTGGCACTGCCTGACGGCCATCGAGCGCGTTCCCGGCAAGGAGATCACCGAGGTCCTCATCATCGGCTACTACGAGGAGTCCGTCTTCCGCGACTTCATCAAGGACGCCACCAATGAGTTCCCCAACCTCTCCATCAAGTACCTGCGCGAGTACGAGGCCTTGGGCACCGCCGGCGGTCTCTACCACTTCCGCGATGCCATCCTCAAGGGCCGCCCCGAACGCCTCTTCGTCCTGAACGCCGACGTCTGCTGCTCCTTCCCTCTCCACGAGATGCTGCAGCTCTTCCACGACAAGAGCGCCGAGGCCATCATTCTCGGCACCCGCGTTTCCAACGACGCCGCCACCAACTTCGGTTGCATCGTGAGCGACGCCCACACCCGCCGCGTCCTCCACTACGTCGAGAAGCCCGAGTCGCAAATCAGCAACCTGATCAACTGCGGTGTCTACCTCTTCTCCACCGACGCCATCTTCCCCTCCATCAAGACCGCCATCAAGCGCCGCACCGACCGTCCCTCCCGCCTCGTCTCCTACCCGAGCTCCGAGAACCTCGAGAACAGCTTCATCCTCAACGACGACGACGAGGAGCGCAAGAACGAGGTCATCCGCCTCGAGCAGGACATCCTCGGTGACCTCGCCGACACCAAGCACTTCTTCGTATACGAGACCAAGGACTTCTGGCGCCAGATCAAGACCGCCGGCTCCGCCGTCCCGGCCAACGCCCTGTACCTGCAGAAGGCCTGGCAGAGCGGCTCCAAGGAGCTCGCCGAGCCGAGCGCCAACATCATCGCTCCCGTCTTCATCCACCCCACCGCCCACGTCGACCCCACCGCCAAGCTGGGCCCCAACGTCTCCATCGGCCCCCGTGTCCACGTCGGCCCGGGCGCGCGCATCAAGGAGTCCATCGTTCTCGAGGACTCGGAGATCAAGCACGACGCTTGCGTTCTGTACTCAATCATCGGTTGGGGCAGCCGCGTAGGCGCCTGGGCCCGTGTCGAGGGTACCCCCACGCCCGTTGGCAGCCACACGACGAGCATCATCAAGAACGGCGTCAAGGTCCAGAGTATCACCATCCTCGGCAAGGACTGCGGTGTCGGCGATGAGGTGCGGGTGCAGAACTGTGTTTGCCTGCCGTTCAAGGAGTTGAAGAGGGTGAGTCTGCTGTTTTCCTCAGTCGCGCAACGAATGCTAATAACGATAGGATGTTGCAAACGAGGTCATCATGTAAACCGGAGTTTCGGGGATGTGTTTGATGCGTCAGAGGGGTGGGACGACGTAATGATGAAGATATTTGCATCGGGGTCGGATAGAGCTCCCATCATTCTTCATAGATGCATGCGTCTTTGGTCACAAAAAGCAATCGAATTCAGCCATTTCAGATTCACCACCGTGCTTTTCGTTGGTATGTTCTCATCAAATTATTCTTACTAGGATGAATGTGCCAGCCAAATCGTCGCCCATCATGAACTTATACTCGATACGCGAAGGTCTAAATTCTTCAGCCAGTTTCATACATCTCGAGTATGTTCCAGTCTCTGGCCAAGGCTGACTCACGCAGCCGGAGACGCGTACGGAATCGACTCAACGTCTTGACAAAGTCTTGAACCAGAACCGTCGTATGGTGCTTCATTTCTCGCCCATGCCGGTCCCGCACCATTGCCCTCCAAACCTCTAGAGCATCCTGACCCATAGCGAAGCCGTCTATCGTCGTCTCTAGCTCCAGTGCCGCGTGCACATCGCACACCTCGTAGCGCAGCACAGTCCCGATGGTCTCTCGCGCATCCCAAAGCTCCATAAGCCTCAGCTGCGGCATTTGGGCAGCCGCTCCCCCAGCTGCGAGGAGCAGCTCGTTTCCCAGCTGTGGTTCAAGCACCCGTGGGGTCCTCAGGTTGATCATCGTGAGAAACGGCCACGTCGTGAGGAACGGCCGCGTGCGAGAGTTGTACCTGCCCAGAGACGTGGCACCGAAGCCGCGAAGGAATTCTAACGCGTCGATGGGCGAGGACGCGCTGAAGGACTGTAGTTGGTTGCAGGCTGCGACGGCGTCGAGGGCTAGGCTGGAGTCTCTGCGGCACTGAGCCAGTATGAGATCGTGCATGAAAGATTGCTTGAACCGACGGGGGGCGTCCCAGGCGGACGTAAGACGCGGGTCATCACCGGCCACGACGCCGTCGTTCAAGTATTCCGCCCGCGCTTCCTGAAAGGAAACGCTGCTCGCTGTCTTCGGCAGGCGTCTGAGCAGGTGTCGAGTCGCCCGGTTACGCTCTCCTCTGTCCTTTGCCGTTATACCGCGCCAAGGCTCGTAAACGACCTCTCGCAGTCTCGGAAGACAACTGAAGACGGTATCTATCGCCTCTGCGGAAAGACTCCGACGCGACTCGCGGCTGACGATGAAATGTGTGACGACCGGTACCTGGAGTTGGTCGAACCGCAAATCAGCGCCGCGGCTTCTGGGGTCGATGCTCGTGTCGATGTCGAGAAGGTTCCCGAGAAGCCGTCTCTTGGCCAGATGGACGCCTGGGTCGTGGTAGTTGCGTATACGCACTCCCCAAGAAACCCTACAGAGCCCTCGCCGTCTTGTTACCGGGGCGTCGTCCAGGATGTGCGCCGTATCGCTGGCTGAGGCGGCGCTGATCTCAAGCGTGAGCCCTTCGCCTGCAGGATGCCACTCGGCGAGTTTGTTCAGGAGAAGTAGAAGTCGTCCCGTGAAGGCTGTGTTGTTGGCTTTGATATCGCGATTGCCCTCTGGGCTGTCGCAGTCTCTGCAGGTGTAGACCTGGAGGGGTACATGCAGTCTGATGCGCTTGACCTTCTCGCGGAGGTGATCGGTGACGTAGTCGGAGAACGTGTGGATGTCTGTATAGGAACGGAGCATCAGACTCGAGAAGTTGCGATCCTCGAAGAAGTGGCGCCAGTCCCAGCAGATGCTGGGCCATGCCCTGCGCTCATTCTTGTCTGTTGGTGTGTTAGCCAACAGATCCAAAATCCTGAAGCGGATCTCCGTGGGCAGGTCGAACCAATCGTATGAACCCATGGTTGTTATGAGTTTGGCCAAAGGGCTGGTTGAGCGAATGTGAGGGTGCACTGTCGTAAGAGGTTTCTCGCAGACGCGTCGATTTTGTAGGTGCAAGAATGGAAGATTCTCGGCAATCCCAGTGACCAAATGGCAGACTTTGTATATGCTCTCGTCCAGAGTGGCGAGCATCCGCAAGGGTAGGCTGAAAATCTGACGAGAGTTCATTAGCTCCAAAGGTGCGCAGCCTTTCTGGCTATGATTTCAATGGTAAGCCACCGCCAACCCCGATTTCAACACCTGCCAGAACCAATCGCAAGGAATTCTACCATGATTCGGGTGCTGAGTCGCTGCAGAAACGCGCTGCGATGTCACTGTGTATGTGGTCTCATGTGTCTTCATTGGTGATTCACGGAGTTCTTTGGCGTTTTCTACGCATATTGGATCACATACCACAAGCAAGCCTTGGTCTGTTAAGGTGTAGAGTCTGCAGAACATAATGCGGCCCGATCTACCACTTTCCGTTCCCCAAAAAGCCATAGGGACTGATTTTTTTGCTCACTCGGCGGGGCAGACATGTATGCAGTCTTTGTATTATTAATCTTGAATTCCTAGCTGGGACGACCGGCACTGCTATCGTGGTATCACGTGCCTTGTTCTTCGTTTATCGTCATCTCTCCTTTTCGTCGTCTCTCCTTTTCGTCGTCTCTCCTTTTCGTCGTCTCTCCTTTTCGTCGTCTCTCATGTCTATGGCACCCCCTATTCATCCTTTCTCTCCAGTATGTCTTCGTCCCATCATTACATTTCAATCAACTCGAAGCCAGACTGGGCCCAGGTGGCATCGTCGACGGCCAAGGGATCTTGACCAGGACCACCAGCGACGACGAGCTGACGAACCCACTCGCTGGCGAGCTCGACGCTGTCGGCATCGTTGTGGATAGCCACGTATCCTCCGTACCAAACACGGATCAACCGTCCACCCGCAGCGTGGATGGCGTTCTGCACCTTCTCCTGGATGGTCTGTCGGAAGCGGAAGATTGCCATCTGGTTGGCCTTGACGAGCTGGTCATTCTTGATGTGGCTGTAAAGGCGAATGGGGTCGAAGAGCACGAGCTCGAGGTCGTTGCCGCCGATTTTGTGGATAGCAAGTCCAAAGCCCATGCGAGGACAAATACCAGACCAGAGCTGTTGCTGAGTCTGACCAGCAGAGCATCCAGGAAGCGAATCAATGGAGGGAATGGAGCCCCAGGGGCGGCCAAACCAAGGGGTCAGCAGGGCGACAGAGATAGACTTGCCGGATGCGAAGTCGTCCATAGCTCTCTTCACATAGGCGTCGGTGGTGAAGCAGTACATGGACTCGTCACCGGTAGCCTTCGCCCAAAGACGACGGTCCTTGAAGTCTTGAAACTGAGCGACGGGGTTGAGAGCAAGCTGCCAGACGCTGGTGGGCTGAAAGCTTCCGAGCGCAAGGGCACAGAGGAAGCCTCGGACTTCGAGGGGGAGGGTGTACTTGGTAGGGAGGGGAGGCATCTGGCCGGGATTCTGGGTGGTTCTGCCGTAGAGAAGAGAGCGCAAGTCCTTGGACGAGATAACTCCAATGTCTTGAGGCAGAAAGTGGGCGGGAGGCCAAACAGGGGCATTGGCATTGGCACCAGTGATGCTGGTACCTTGAAGCTGAGCCGTGAGAGCACCGAGATCGTTGGGGCGGGTCGCGAGCGAGATGGTCTGGGGAGCGGGAATACCAGCAAAGGTATCCTGGATTTGAATCCAGACGTCAACGGCGTGGTTGAGGTCGGTGTCTTGAGGCATGCCTGTGTATCGGCGGCGGGCAGCAGTGTAAGTCCGCTCAAGGACTCGGATGAGGTCGCCGTTCAAGTCGCCCTTGGTCGTGATCTTCGAGGCGATGGTAGAGTAGAACACCTCGTGGCCGCGAAGGGCGCCGTAGAGATCAACATGGTCGAAGAGGCAATGGAATATCTGAAGCAGGGCGGTGTACATCTCCTGGCGTAAGTCGTCGAATTGGTCTTCTTTGGCAGTCTGCCAGTCGCCGAGAATAACAGCGTCCATGATCTGACGGACGGCATCGCGATCGGGAATGATGGCACCAGAAGGGAAGTAAAAGCCCTTCTGAGCACCCAAGACTCTCTTGGCGACACTGTGCTTCGCCATCTTTTCAACTTGGTATGGGTCTCGAAGGATGGTGGTCTTCTCGAAGGATGGTGGATGTCGGGTCGGAGTTGTGATGGAAAAGATCGGAAGTGGTCAGGATTTACCTCAGATCAGTAGATATTTGTTGCCGAAGAGAAGGAGTTTGTGGATTGGCCAGGTGAGAAAGGTGAGGTGAGAGGGGAGTGGCAGTGAATTGGAGGCAGGTGAGCCACGCGGTGAGTTGAGCCCCAGAAAAGAAAGAACGGCTGTCCTGCACTGCAGTTGCTGTGTGAGAACTTTTGATCTTCGCCGGAGTGAATGAGCGGATAAACCTGGCATGAAAACAAGTAAGGTACGGTGAGAATCTTCATCTTCGGCACAGATACCAAATCATCTTCACCTTCTCGCAGACTTGATCATTGAGCAGTTTGTTCACTTTGCAAAGGTCACCAGTTAAATGAAGTGTCCAGATGAGAAGGAATAGAACACTTGAGATCAAAATATTCAGGACTTTGAACTTCGAAGTCCCGGTTATCAACACTTGTACGTAGGTAGTAGCTACAGACGTCGCTTGGTAGATCGTTGAAGATATTCACACGACCTTCTTACCTTCCGGAGATCATAGTCCGCGAGCTGAGATGGTGATGAACGTTATCGGACGAATAGATAGTGAGATTAAAAACGGGAAAAAACAAAAAAGAATGGCCGATTTGGCAATCGAAGGATAGGTACGCTGACTCACCGCGGAACGTCGACGCCAGCTAGTCATCGTACAACCACCCCTCGACCACCCAGCCGAATTGTTGGAAAGGAGGGTAGCTGAGCTTCCTATAAAGGCAACCTGGCCTGGAGGACATGCAGCCCCGGAGAACATTTCGCCGTGCGCACGGCGAGCTCACTTTGGGCAACTTTACTAGCATTACCCAACCCAAGTCTCATAAACTAAGGTCTGGCCCTACCCAGCAATTCACCTGGAGCTTCAACCTGGAACTTCAACTACCTGAACGCTATGATCTATCGTGAGCTGCAGGGGCACCGACGTCTCACTTTCACAGAAGCCCTGAACG